TCTTCTCTTTTCCGTTCCACAGCTTCCTTAACGCCAAACTAATTTTTGCTGAGGTTGAAATACGGCGATCTAGTAACCAGTCCCCTAACTCGCCCTGCGCACTTTAAACAATTCAACACAAAGCAACCGGGTTGATTGATGATCAAGTACTGACCGCATCACTCTGGTTACTCGCGTTCACCCGCGGTCAGCCATCCAGTTAGGACTCGTGTGTTTTTGTATCGCTACTACTACTACGACAACGGTGACCGTTCCCATGAACTTCAACTCATTGATCGCACCACTCGCGTTGAGGACTCTGACAAACTGTGTCGTCTCATCCACGATGTGTTAACACAACCAAGTCACAACACACCCCCCCACCCACCCCCTTGGGCTTCTTACCGCCGCCGCCTCCTCCTCCTCAACTTTGCAATTCCCTTCCCTTCCTTTCTTACCAAAGTTATTTCAGTAACCTTCTGCAAATCAATAAACATACGAATTCATCTATCTAATACAGCTTCAAAAGTGCCGTTTGTAGCCGCCCGCTTGTTGTTCTGTGTCGTTTGAGTGTGTGCCCAGCAACCACGGTAAAAAAAATCAATATAAGACACGCGGGTAAGTTAAACCCTTTATTTTGAGCTGCTGTGGCGAGACATTGGAATGAAGAATAGCTCATTCCCTCAACATGCCTTGTGCAGATGAATCGGCACCCTCAGGAGGCGCTCAGAGAATCTTCTCCCAATCTCCCACTTACCAGTTACTTGGCATCCTGCAGGGACGACGGCACAGTCGAAAGTGCTTCGCCACAGAGCAGCCCAGGAGAAGAAAGCAAAGTTACAGGTCCTTACAATACACGAGGGTGGCTGCCTCGGCGTAATGGCTAGTCGGACCAGACTTGCAATTCGAAAGGTTGTCCTGTCGATTTGATCTCCACAGCAAAGAAAGGCACTTCAAGCATTGAGCAAGTTTCTTAAATACCCCTACCCCCCGTCACCGTCCACTCCGCACTATAAATTGGTATGCCACTGTCTTGGCGAAATAAAGTGCGGATACTCCCACCGTCTCTTCCAAGATGCCTGGTCAGTGTGGAAGGTCACGCAAAAAACATCATCTTGAGGGGGCCGCCTAAAGCTCCCTCTAATGGAGGACTTTTCATCCAGCAGTGACATGAACAAGCAATTGCAGGGCTGCGCCTTAACCGTTTACAATCCAAAAACGAATACAGTGCAGCGCTAGGTTAGGGGTTGGGGGGGGGTGCTTGGTCGGAGGCTAGACCAGTTACAGTCGCAAAACAATTTGCCCTGTTATATTAGGGAAAAAAAACACACGAGCCAAAATGTTACAGCGCCAGACATATGGTGCGTTTTCTCACACCTTGTAAAACTGTCACTTCCCATTCACCGTTATGCGAGGCATTACACGTTCGCCACCTTTACTTGCATATAAGAGTGGCGTAATACAATCTCGCTCCGTGTACTGTGGTGGGATGGTTATCGCAAAAGAAGCACGCTTTCAGAAGCAGAGGGGGCGGCGGGGGGGGGGGTGATGGCTGCGACTTGCCACAAAAATTGGTCCTGTGGACACAAAAGATCCCAAGGCACTCTTCTTTTGCAAAAAAAAAAGCAGAGCCGGTGCCAACAATGCGGTCAAATATTGTCCTCGCAAATTTAAGTTAAAGGCCCTGAAAAGGCAGTTTGCTGTATTGTGCTTCTCTAGAATGGAAAGAGTGAAAGGATAATCAAGTAAACCATTAAACACTTTGAATGGTGCTATCCTTTTGATGTCAACACAGCAAATTTTTGAGCTCTTAAAACTCCTCCACTCAGCCAAACTCAATTGCCAAATAATGTAGATTTACATACAGTGCAGTATAAGCAATCTTCTCCCCTCGCAATTAAATGTGCTCAATTTCTCAGCCTTAGCGTATTGCATGCCAGACTCCAGAGATAGTTATTGTGTTATTAAAACAATATATAGGCCAGGATGCTACTGCCATGGCGTGTTGGTTAGCACACCAGTTCGATTCCATCTACTGGCGGTTGCAGTTGAAATGAAGGTGCAAGTTTAAAAAAAATCCTCACTGGCTGTGTCGACAAAAGCGGTGTAAACTAAACAGTTTGTTTTTATTTGACCAGGTAAGGCCCACAAATATCCATCACTTGTTCAGCTTTTTTTTTTGCCAGAAGCGACCTGGCCACAAATGGTAGCCCAACAGAGTGGCTTATCGCGTGGAAATTTACAGCAGCCAAATACCCTAAACGCGTACTTGATTTGAAGCTTTTGTGACTGCAGGCATTACTCTTTGGTTCTTTCGGTAAAGTCACGTAGAAAGTAAATAAAATAAATAATATAATTCGACGTTTCGATTGCAACACAAGCAACCGTCATCAGGTGTGAATGCAAGCTCGGAGAGAGACACATACACAGAGAGATACAAACACAGACACGGAGAGAGACACATTCACAGAGAGAGAGACACAGAGAGAGAGAGAGACAAACACACAGAGAGAGAGACACAGAGGAGAGACACATAGAGAGACACACGCAGAGAGACACACACAGAGACACAGAGAAACAACGCCTCCGTGACGAGGTGTTATGTGTTTGTCTCTCTCTCTGGATATGTGTCTCTCTCCGAGCTTGCATCCACACCTGATTAGGTTGCTTGTGTTGCAATCGAAACGTCGTATTCTATTATTTATTTTATTTCCTTTCCACGTGACTTTACCGCAAGAACCAAAGAGTAACTCTAAACGCATGCTCATTCTAAATGTGGAGGGACAAACCGGAGGACTCGGAGACAAATCCACGTGACCACAGGAAGAAAGAAACGCAAACTACAAATATACAGCAGCAGGCGTCAGGGTCGGGATCGAGCCCACGGCCTCCTGTATACCAGGCGAGGTAGTTAACATCTCCTAGCCACCGTGATGATGATGAGAGAGAGAGACACGCAAACTCCAAATATACAGCAGCAGGCGTCAGGGTCGGGATCGAGCCCACGGCCTCCTGTATACCAGGCGAGGTAGTTAACATCTCCTAGCCACCGTGATGATGATGAGAGAGAGAGAGACACGCCAACTCCAAATATACAGCAGCAGGCGTCAGGGTCGGGATCGAGCCCACGGCCTCCTGTATACCAGGCGAGGTAGTTAACATCTCGCCACCGTGGCGCCCGATAAATGAGTCCACGGCAGTAGTTGGTCCATCAGCAGAAAGTCACGTGCGTTGCCGTAATAATATGTGGGTACTCCTATCCATTCCAAGACGTGTACTAATAGAACAACCAACGATTCCCCCATACAAAGTGTTTATCTTTAGGAGTCACAGGCGAAAGAGAAGCTTCAGCAAAATGTTACCCTTATACTCTGCGCACTGATGACAACACAACGTTGTATACTAATTTACTCGAATATTACGAGAGCGAAAAAAGGGCTCGTCTAGTGGTAGTTTAGCAACTGTATCTAACAAAAAAAGCATGCACAAAGGCTCAATTGCCCATTAACTTAACATCCCTTTTCCTCCCAGCTGGGCAGTAAAAATAAAATAGCAGAGCCAACTCCCCCCCCTACACACCGGCTCCGAACTTTGTCAGTGTATTTTTAGTGGGCTGTCACAAATGTCCATCACTTTGACTATTAATAACCGTCTGACACTTAACACGTATGTGATCATGCCTTACAAGACAAAGGGACATTGTTTGAAGTGTATTATCCAATATCCTAATCTATTGCGAATGTTGCGTACTTATCACTTCCTTGATGTATTGCTTCCTCTAACGTCAAGACAATGCGTGGCCTCACCCCCCCCCCCCCCCATGCATTCTGTTATACTCTTGTGATTATGTTGATAATTGTACGTTCACCCCCCTCCCACACCCCACCACCACGGGGCATTGGGCTCATGATAATAAGTAATTGGGTGTTTATTTATATCCACTCCTTGTTCCTGACGATCGGGCTCCTAAGTATTCCGCGGGTTTAACAGTAGGAGGTGATTAATAACGGTTCGCAATTATCACCCTACCCTCTCATGCAACTCCCCCCCCCCTTCTGTGTCAACAACAATGTATGGCAGATTGCGTTGCGTCAAAGCTCAAAGCAATTCCGCGCCTTCGTAACGCCTTCTTGGTTCTTTCGGTAAAGTCACGTAGAAGAGAAGTAATACAATAATAAAAATAAAACATAATTAAATAATTTCACGACGTTTCGGCCACAACGCAAGCAGCCGTCCTCAGGTGAAGAAGATGAATCCTTGCAGTCACGAAAGCTTTAAATCGAAATTTATAACGCCTGTCAACCAAAAAAAAAACCGCATCGCCGACGGCCACAAATTCAGCGTCAATGCAATTGTCCATTCGGCAAACTCACCTGGCGTCGTGGCTGGAACAATATATTTGTGTGTGTGTGCGCGCGACTGTGCAAAAAGTAACTTCGTAACTTCTTTCAAAGAATGATTTTAGGACTGGGAGTTGGTGATTCATTAGGTCAGGTTAAAGGGGCCAAGAACAAAGAATTGGTGTGTTCGAGATACGCTTTTGGTTTAGAATACAAGTTTGTTCGGTGCCAAGTTTGGTAGCGTAATTAGTAGGTGCTGGATTTAAATCCATGGTTGCCCAAGTTTAATACCCGGCCACGGCGAACATCAGTGGTGAGTGATATCCGAACCAAAGTTCTGTACTAACCAATCATAGCATGCTGTACCACCATGCCTGACAAAGAGTAGATTAACAATGTGCAGCACAAGCATCATTATTAGCATGCGACGTGGGGACTGAACTGTTGAAGTTTCACGCTAGCTTCGGGGTTGAGTGACAAGAGTTACTATTATGGTCACGGTGAGATACAGGATGATGATGATGAGCACACCAACACCACCCAATGCGATATATCCACTTCCAAACCACTTTCGAAAGGAGTTCGAATTGCAACGACCTCGCGCAAACGTCACGCACCCCTCTCGTTGTACAACAGCGCATTGCAGCATACAATCGGAGGAGCAATTCGATGGGAACTCACTTCTCGTATTCTTGGTTGTCCCTGTCGCAGCGGGCATCCTTGTGCTTCCACCATTCCTTGCCGTGCTTGCAGGTGGTCAGCAGAATGATATCCTGTTCGTTGTGGACGTGATATAAGGCATTCCTGGTGTCCGAGCCGATGCCGGTCAGGTAGCGTTTCCCCTTGAACACCAACAGGTATTTTCTGGTGGGCGGAATGCTGTTCTGCTCAAGGAAGCCTCGCTCGCCGCCCTTCTGCGGGTGGTCTTTCGAGAACAAGGGGATTGACACGTCAAAGTTCGGCCTGAAGTTCTCCACGCCGATGCTCGCCTTGGCCAGCATCGCCTGGCCAATGTCGAAGTCCAGCTCCTCCGTGTAATCGGGCCATGTCCCCGAGTACAGGTTGAACACCAGGTGGTTTCTGCCGTTGTTCCAGAGCGGCAGGCTTTGGATCTTGGCTCTCACGTTGTGCACGTAGTGACCGGAGAGGGAGTCTCGGTCCAGGGTGTCTATGGCCAGCACAAAGAGGCACGCTTTGCTCGCGTCCTGCGTGTAGAAGCGCGACTCCTGGATGGAGGCAATGACCTTCTGGTAGCTCTCGGAGATTTTCTCGGCTTTGCCGCCCTGCTGCTGCTGCTGCTGCGGGTACACGTACACCCAGAAGCCGTTCCTCTCGCACAGCTTGATGTCAAAGCAGCTCTCCATGCGACAGCGTCTCCCGCGGTACACGCTGTCCCAGATCTCGCGTCTGCGTCGGGGCGACACGTTTACCCCCCCACCGCCTCCTCCTCCTCCAGCACCACCACCGCCGCCTCCTCCTACTGCTGCTCGCTCGTCCGGGATCGAACCCATCGCCTCGACCTCCTGCTGCCCCCCGTCCCCATCCTCCTCCCCGCCATCCTCCTGCTCCTCGTCCATCGCGGGCAAGCCGGCCGGTAGCCGGAGCCCGACCCACGCCGGCCAGCGGCGGCATCCTGGCGGGTTGTCGGAGGCGGCGGCGTTGTTCTCGCGCGCCACCAGCTGCGGGCTGCAGCCCCCGCGAGCCGCCACCAGCTGCCCGAACTGCACGCCGCCCAGGTAGAAGAGAAGCAGTAGACAGACGCCCGCTGACACTAGGACGTAGCGCTTCTTTGCCTGCATGTGTCCGGGCCGGCCAACGGGAGCTCGCACTGGAGGCACGGACGCGGAGCCCGCCACCAGAGCGGCGGCGGTAGGAGCAGCAGCAGCAGCAGGAGGAGGACTTCTCCTCCTAGGCTTGCCACGGAGACATGGAACGCGCTGGGGTCGAGGCTCAGCCCTGCCGGGCACGGTCGAGACGGCAGCGGCGCTTGGACTCCCCGGCCCTGAGAGCCCAGCATCGGGGTGCGCGTGTGTGGGCAACTCGGGCAACGCGGCAAGACCGAGGAGGAGGAGGATGGATGATGATGATGGAGGAGGAGGGAGGAGGAGGGAGGACAGGAGTCGCGCAAGGAGGACTTTGAGAGGAGGTAGGGAGGGAGGTGTGTCTTGGAAGAGGAGGAGGAGAGAAAACAAAAGTGGTGGCTGTTGTTGGAGTGAGTGAGTGAGCGAGGTTGCGTTTCTTAGTTTTAAAGAGACAAGACGGATAAGCAAGCAAAAGTGCCTAACGGGAGACAGCACGAGGAGATGACCACACACACACAACGAGCGAGGCTTACAGGGACAGACAGACAGACACACGCGGGAAGAAGAGACGCGCGCTCAGGAGTGTCTATCACACGTGCACACGAGGATACGAATCCGCGCTGTTCTCGTCTCGAGCCGCCAGGCGCACTCTCTCAGCCGCTGCTGAAATCACGACCCAGTCCGTATCCATCGCAGAGGGGCAGAGGGGCAGGGAGGAGCGGTGGGGTGGGTGGGTGGGTACAGGGGGATGGCCGTCGTGGTGTTGGGAGGAGAGAGGGGTGCATGTGAGTGTACGGAGTGAAGGAGGAGAGAGCGGGTGGATGGCAGTGTTGTTGGGAGTGTACGGAGTGTCGGGCGAACGGATGGTAGTGGAGGTGGTGTTGGAACGAGAGTAAGAGAGGGGTGCCGTGCTGCCGTGCGCTTTGCCTGGGCCCGGCTGGTAAGAGCAATGCAGAGGAGCGGGCTGGAGGACAGGGAGGGAGAGAGTTGGGGTGGCTCTACTACTCCTCCTCTCTGCTCCCCTTCTCGCCTCGTTGAGTCGCCGTGCGGTCGAGACTGTGAGCGGACGAGTCCTGGATCCCTTCCACACCCCCCCCCTCCCTTATCTCTCCCCTCCCTCTCCCCTCTGCCCAGCTCGATGCCGGCTCCTCCTCCTGCTGCCTCTCCACTTTGCACAGCCGCCTGACGTCAGCGCTCCGGCTTAACCCGTTTCCCGATGAATGATGGCCCCGTATCCTTACAGCTCCGTGTTTCAACACCCATGGAAAAACAGCAGCAGCAGCAGCAGCAATGCAAAGAGTCTCTTACCAAAGGGGAAATGGATGGATCTCTGTGTAGTATATCAATTTGCTTGCCGCTGTATATATATGTGTGTATGTTGTTTTTTTGTTAATATATATTCCTTATGTGCACGCGCAATAAATATAGTGTGCGCGTGTGTGCGCGTGTTGGTGATGGAGGGGTTGGGAGGTACGCTCCGAATTTAGCTTCGACGAGTTCGATTCCCGGCCACGGTTAACATCAGTGAAGGTGGTCCGAACCGGTCGTGGGCCTCCCCGAGGTGGACTCAGCCTCAAATGAGTATCCTGGTGAGAGAGAACCAAAAAAAAAGCATCGGCACTTTGGGGGGTGATGTCCAAACGGTGCTCGCTCTCAACACTTTTGGCCCAAGAGCTCGTTCCAGGATACACAGAGAATTGTCGCTTGTCATTTATGTGTTGTGGAATATGCGATGCGAGTATGCTTGACACTACTTTTTATTTTATTTTAAACATTCAGTAATTACTTCGAATATGACTATGCATATGTCGCGTGGGTAAGTATAGAAAGTGCTGTGTGTGTGTGTGCATATATATATGTACGTTCAACATTGACTTCATGCGAGCACGCCCCGTGCATACATTATATAGGCTAATCTATATAACACGAGGTTGCCAAGTCACGGCTAATAATAACCCAACATGATTTCATCACAACCCGTCCCTGCTTCCAAGCATTCCTTTGGATTGAACTACATCCACTCAATGCCAGACGTGGTCGCCGTCACGATATTGATGTTTTTCTCTCTCTCTCTCATAATGGAATGCTGTTTCGGTGGACCAATTTGTTGTATTCCGTCACTGGAAGCCTCCTTTGAATGCAAAGTTAATTTATTTTATTTCAACTTGTTGCGGTTTCTTCCGATGTGTCTTCGGGTTGCGCCGCCCAGTGTAGTTCGGCGTGATGCATCACGCAGCACGTGGAGCGAAACGTCGTACATCATTCCCGAACAACACACGGGAGAACCCGGACAACAGCACAGAGCCCCTGAGAAATCCACGTTTGTAGTTTCCATGCACGCACATACACGTTCAACATCATATTTTGACGGATCGGAATTTTACGTGCTAAAATGCTAAGCAGCTGGAATTTGCTAACTCCAAAATCAATCTGTCTCCCAGGACTTTGTCAAGTTTTGATAGACTGAATTAAATCGATGTTTTCCGATCAATAGCCATTGACATGGGTCATGCGAAATGTATCACCGAAACTAATTAGATGTCAGTCTAATAAAACCTCGGGTTGACCATTTCGTTTTCTGCATTCCATTATTCTATCTCTTACAGCAGAATAAGGTTTTTATCACGTACAGCCAGGATTAAGTTTAACAAACGTGAGTAATACATTGTTTTGGGGGGAGGCGATATGATAACGTAAAGTTTATGTTCTGCTTAACGAAGGGCTGCTGCATCATTATTTTTTCTCAGAAAGAAATAAATGAGTCAGACGCCTTTTATATGCCAGCAATAACCGCGTTTATTACTGTGCTGAATTTACAGGTTTCAAAAGTCATGGGGAGGGATTATAGTACCCATTCTTTAGCGAGGGCCCCATGTGAACTTGTTTGTTCTGCTGCATGGGAGAGTGAGTTGGTCCTGTTTCAATTGAATAATCACCATCGAATTGATGTTGTGTGGGTTTATTATACCAGCCATTATGTGATAAGGTTTATCAAAAGTTTATTTTCGTCTTATAAACTAAAACTAAACTATTTTTTTTTATTTTACCAGGCAAGGCCTACTGAGCTATATAGCTATTTTTCAGAAGCGACCTGGCCACAAATGATAGCTCAACAAAGTGGCTTATCATGTGGAAATCTATAGCAGCCAAATACTCTAAACACACGTTTCTAAAGAGAAAATCCACGGGGAGAGACACAAACTCCAAATACACAGGCGTCAGGGTCAGCATCGGACCCACGACCTCCTGTATACCAGGCAAGGTCGTTAATTAACATCTCCTATCCACCGTGATGATGATGATAGAGAGAGACACGCAAACTTCAAATATACAGCAGGCGTCAGCATCAGACCCACGACCTCCTGTATACCAGGCAAGGTCGTTAATTAACGTCTCCTAGTCACCGTGATAATGATGATGACAGAGAGAGACACGCAAACTTCAAATATACAGCAGGTGTTAGCATCGGACCCACGACCTCCTGTATACCAGGCAAGGTCGTTAATTAACATCTCCTAGTCACCGTGATGACGATGATGAGAGAGAGAGACACGCAGACTTCAAATATACAGCAGGCGTCAGCATCGGACCCACGACCTCCTGTATCGCAGGCAAGGTCGTTAATTAACATCTCCTAGCCACCGTGATGATGAGAGAGAGAGACACGCAAACCTCAAATATGCAGCAGGCATCAGCATCGGATCCACGACCTCCCGTATACCAGGCGAGGTAGTTAACATCTCCTAGCCACCGTGATGATGATGAGAGAGAGAGAGACACGCAAACGTCAAATATACAGCAGGCGTCAGCATGGGACCCACGACCTCCCGTACACCAGGCGAGGTAGTTAACATCTCGCCACCCGCGGCGCACAATCGCTTTCGCTCTGGAGAGATCCCGCCTTCACTGTGACCACAAGCATCGTTGAATAATTAAGAAGAAGAAGAGAAGGAGGAGGAGGAGGCGGTGCGGGTGTGTCCTGTCGGTAGCGCGTGCGGGGTTTCCTTTTTTTGGGGGGTGGGGGAGCTTTTAAAGGTCACGTGACCGCCTCGTTACCAAAGAGCCCCTTTATTGCCGCAGGAGTCACGCTCCAAATGAGTAACCCCGTAATAAATGGTTAACAGCCACACCAGCCCGTGTTCGCTACACCACCACCCCCCTCCACTGCCAAAAAAGCCCCGAAGAACAATAGCGCTTGTAAAGGAAGCTTCCTCCCCAGTTAACATAACTCATCACAGTTACGCCGTTTTATCCAGATTATAAGACGCACAACAACCCACCCCCTCCCCCCGCAGTTAAAGAAAACGTTTGGAATGGGTGTTTTTTTTCTTCATTTTTTTAAATGGATGTTACTTTCGGGAGCGCCGTATAATCCAGAAAAAACGATGTTTCTACGGCCTGAGTAATATGCAAAAAAGTGTTTTTGCACGTAGCTCACTACGATTGGCACACAGTGACACAATAACTCACAGTGACACAATATCTCCTTTCAACTAAAGCATCGAACACCCCTCTCAAGCTTAACAGTACATGCTATAGTTTCCCTGACGTGTCCTTATCGTGGAGTCGAAAGATATCGTACAGTGTGTGTGTGTAGATATATAAAGAATGGCATTATTGCGTGGTTGATCCTGATCACCCATTGCACCAACTGTCCCCTCGTGTGCCCTGATTGGTTCGCTTTTTTTGTGAAATGGGCACTCGTCCAAGTGGAGGAGAGACCAAGTGTGACGGTTGCGTTCGTTGTTTTCATCGCTTCACAATGTCAAGGAACTGCTTGCTTCTTTCCACGTTCGAAGCATCACCCACACACACGTGTGTGTGTGTAGAACAGGGGTCGGCAACCTACGGCTCCGGAGCCGCATGCGGCTCTTTACGGGCTGCTTCTTGACGATGAGTACGTCTGTACAGTATGTACTCAGATGCATTGCGGCTCTTGAAATACTGAATTTTGTACCGAATTGGAAAGAAATGGCTCTTCTTGTTATTTTGGTTGCCGACCCCTGGTGTAGAACAACAAAATCAAAGTCGTGGTTTGCGTGCATGCGAGCAAAAAAAGCCAGCGATTCGTGTGATGCCCTTTAATTACGAGCTGGTAATGTGATCTCGTTAACAGTTCTGGGTTAATATAAGGCAAAGTGGTGCGCAGAGTACATTAGCAAAGGCCTAAATACGAGCACTGCATTGTAATATTTTAATATGCCCCTTGGTGCCCAAATTCCAAACGACAGAATTTAAACCCTTAAATAGCAAGACGTGTATACACAGCAATGAGCAAAGCGATAATTATTGTGTTTTTAACGTGTGTTTCTGAAGCAGCATGTATTTACCACTTAGATATTAAAGCATTGCAGCACTTGGAACATAGTATGCCATTTCATCAATGAGGGGAGCGGTGGCACAATGATTAGCACACCCATGACCAACACTGCCAGCGAGTAACATCTGAACCTGTCCCAGGCCCCCCTTCCACAACCACAACTGAACTGTGTGGTGAAGTATGATCAACCAAACGCCGTGATCGACAGAGCAATGAATGGCCTTCATCCAGCATTTGATTTCAAATGGCTAAAAAAATATTTTACACATACAGCCACATCAACGTTAATGATGTTTACAATAAAATTTTGAACCATGCAGTTTTTTGTATAAATGAACTGACATATCAAGAAGGGACATCACCAATATGTGGTGATAGGAAAAAATGAAATGACGAGTATAACCTAGAGTGGTTGGGGAGCTGACTGCATGTTTCTAATAACAAAAGACTTCACGTCACCAGCCTCAAACCAACGAGACATCAAGTCTCTCGCAAGGATGACCCGAGACAACCGGTGACCTCGGTACTGCGGCATTACAGACCTTGGCAGTTAAGTCGATCGATCGGCAGGTCACGTGTGGTGGGTTAAAGTGTGAATCCTGCCACCCCCTTCTCCCAAGACGACTGGCCAACGGAGAGGAGTGGGGGGGGTCTGAGAGTGGGGGGGGGGGGGGTCTAGAGTGGGGGGGGGGGGTCTAGAGTGGGGGGGGGGGGTCTAGAGTGGGGGGGGGGGTCT